GTTTTTTTTTTTTTTTTTTTTTTTTGGTATCAGGGATCGAACTTGGGGTCCTAGCGCTTGCAAGGCAGGCAGTGGAACCACTGAGTTAAATCCCCAACCCACATCAACGTCTTTATATAACATGCTTATGGTGAAAGCCAGAATATAAAGAAAACCATAAAAGAGCAAGTCAGAACTATACAAAATGAATAAGTTTAGCAATTTGCTATACTTCCTTCCAAGCGTATTCTGTGTATACATCCACATGTGAGCCAATGGCCTGTAGTCCTTATTGGACAGATCAAGTCCCTCACTCTGGATTTTATAGGCTCTGAGAGATGGACACAATATTTTTTCCTTTAGGAGTATTACCAACTTTTCCCACTTGACAAAACACCTCTCACATAGCCCACATGCAAGTACTCAGTGTGAATCTCTGCAGGCTACAGGTGGGTGGCTCCCCACTGTGCACACCAAGCCTGGCAAGGGAATGCCATACATCCCTCACTGGGAGTGCCATTCTCTGATCTGGCCTCATGTGCTACATCTCAGCACTGAGGCTCAGTGCAGGGATGTGGAGAGGGAAAATGCAGAGCTTTGTCAGACTTCCTGCCCAATTTTCTATGCCTGTGACCTGCATCTGGAGACTGGTTGGTTTTTTTCTAGATGTCTTTGCTACATGCGTATGTCTCACTAGCAATGTTATTTCGCATCATATTTACATAGACATTTTGCACCATATTTACAAAAGTTTCTAGCTTTTGTTTTTGTATAAAAAAAGTGAGAACAATGCAGGCATACAGAGAAAGATCTAAAGAGAAAATCGTGTTGACTGATGCTGAACCAAATGACCATCATCATCTTTCACATTCAATCTACTGACTAGACTAAACTGTCTGGATGGCAGCCAGGTAAGGAGGGTTTTCAACCGAAGTGAAACTTTTCAATGGCCACACAACATGGAGACTCAATCAGTGTATAGTGAGCTGCCCCGCTGAACTTAACAGGAGGTCTCTGTCCTAGACAGGCAGGTAAGGAAAGCCAACCATGATGAAATGAAAGGAGCACTGTATACACATACACCAGCAGCATAGGCTCCCTGGGATGGGAGCCAATTGATCGTGTTTGCTTTCCCCCACTAGAACTACAGTGTAGCTTGATGCAAGTAGGTGTATTTTCTGTTTCAGTTCTGTCTTCAAAACTTGGAGTAGTTAGATGAGTCTATTTAAATTAATAAAATTGGTGCTCTGGTTTTAGTATCAGTCTTTTGATTTGGATTAGTGTGAGAAAAATCTCATCATTTATGAACTGTACATGCATTATATGCATTAACAAATTGTTTTCCAGTCACAAGTTTTGGCCGCCTTTTAAAAATTGTAGCTTCACATCAAGTAGGAACCAGACATGAATCATAGGAACTGTACCACTGGCCCCAAAGCTAAGCGCACAAAACTGGGAAATTGTTCTGACCTTAGTGCACAGGGAGCACTGTGGGTACTCTGGGTAGACACCAGGCTCAGAGTGTGCATCTTCATGTGGACAAACATTTTGCTGAGAAGATGCTTTGCTGATAAAATGACTCAGAAACCAGTCAGAATGATGTCTAATAGGTTGGTCCTCCTAAACCACTCCTATTTTGTAATAGGAACTCACAGGGGAAAAACCTGGCAAACCCATGTGGTGAAGGCCAACACCCTAGTAATATTAGTTAGACATGATGGTCCCCATGAATGGATCCCTGTCTACTCATGAGAAAAATGCCAGACAAACCAAGACTGCTGCCATTCTCCAGGGTCCCAGGCCTGGGCTCCTTAGGACTGTCGAAATGACAGCTAGACTTCATGATGGAGCAGTGGTGGAGATGAGGAGCTGCCACAGTCTGGAGCCATCTTAGAAGTGACACTGAAGGCTGAGCTGGCAAATTGGGTTGGGGGAGGAGAGAAAGAAGTCAAGGATGACTGTGGCTGCAATGACCACGTAGATAGTAGACAGCTGACATTTACTGCATGAAAAACAAGACAAGATTGAGAAACTGGCCCAGACCAGAGGAACCCAGGCAGACATAACAACATGAGGTGTAGTGTCATAAATGGAATCCTGGACAGGACAGAGGTAGGAAATGGATACATGGCATTCACTGTGCAGCTGTCCCACTCCTCAGAGCCACCAGGCATTTTGCAACCCCCAGCAACAAACAGCTGTGGAGAGGCCTCCTGCAAGCCAAGGTGCGCATTTCCATCAGAGCTGCTTTCTTCAGACATGGCTGCTTGGGCTGCGCATATCCTGGCTCTTCCTACAGCCTCATGTCAGACCAACTCCAGCTCTTCCCAGCTGTTTGCAGAGCTGTCTTCCTAATGCTGGCTGGTCCAGAGCCACAGATGTGCTTTCCACTGTTCTCAGGCTTGAGAGGCTTCATTTGTTTTTCAGCGTTTAGGTGAGAATCTCTGGGCACTGTTCTACCCCATCATTTCTTTGATTCTTCCTCCTTATATGTTATGAGTGATAAGTAAACCATGAGGCCCCTGTGCTGCTTTATATAGCTGCCCCTAAGTTTCTGTAGGAGACTGGTTCTAGGATGATGGAAGAAACCAAACTCTCCAGTTGCCTAAATCCTTTTTATTAAAAAAAAAATGGTGTATCATTCGCATAAAACCTACATACATCCTCCTGTATGCAAAATCATCTCTAGATGATTCATAAGCCCTAAGGACAAGAAAGGGGTCTATACATGTAATGTTTTGGAACTTTCTAGAATTTTTTTGTCAAATTTTTTGATCCTCAGTTGGTTGAATCCTCATATTCTGAAACTGCAGACATGGAAAGTTGACTGTATCTCAGAATATGTCTGACATCCACACAAAAATACTTGATGCAAAAGTGGGAAAACAGAACTCAGGCATGGAGATGAATATGTTCCCATCCCACTTCCGTCCCCCAGGCTGCTCCTGCCTGGCTTGTCTGGGGTCTCTGCCCTATCTCCACCCTGTGGCTGGTCCTTGAAGAACTCCCGTGGTTCACAGGTGTGGTGAACCAGATGGTCTGCACATAGGATTCACCTGTGCCCCACACCCAGGTACATTGCCTCCTGCCAGAGAATGGTGCAGGGACTCAGCAAAGGAGATGGGAGTAGGCTGAAGCAGGTCACCAGAAGCAAGGAGGAACTGGACACAAGGAAAAACTGGAAGCAAGCAGAAGTGTCAGGGAACCCCAAGGATAGCGAAGCAACCCTGGTAGGAAGTGTATGGCTTGAGTCACCAGAACTTAGGGAGTACCTAAAACTTAATCAAAGAGAAGGACTAGAGACTTTTCTGGGCTAAGGCTTCCCCTCACATCTTGCCACATCCTCTCTCTAGTGGGGTTTTACCATCTGGGATGATCACACTTCCTGCCCCTCCTCCTGGGTTTCTGGCCTTCCAGAGCAGTGTCTAGCCCTGCTGGCACTACTTCTTATCCATGATGGTCAGGCCCAGCCTGCCTCACAGATCTGGCCTGGACCACAGCATCTCCACCTCCACCTGCACTGCTATCAGAATGAACTTAATGGGTCCTGACCTGAACAGGCCACTCCCTACTGACAAAAGGTTTTGGTCCCAAGTGAGGGTATAACTACTGGTATGGCCCTACAACTCCCCAAGGTCAGGCCCTACCTACTGTAGCCTGTCTTTCCCATACCCCAGGCCTCTCCCATTCTTTCCCTGCTAGAGGGACTGGCTGACCTGTATCCAAAGCAGCTCCTCAGCCACCTCCTCAAAGCCTTCCAGGGCTCATCTCCCAGGTAGTACAGCCCCGGGTGCATGGCACCTCTGGAGCACCAACTATGCTTACGTCTCTTTTTGTTGTCTTCTGTAACCTATGCAGAAGCAAGGATCATTTTCCTGATGCCTGGCATTTTCAGCTGTCCAGAATATGTTGTGAGAATACATGAGTGTGATGATTCTATGTGGTTCCCCATCAGTGATGCTGCTTTCAACACCAGAAGAGCCTAGAGGAAAGGCAGGTAAAATTGAGATGCCAGTCATCCAAACAGTAAGGCCCAGGGGCCCCACAGTGGCATCAGGTGGTCAAAGTCATTATGATGTGTGTGGCTCAATGGGTGGGAGGTGTGTGCACTGCTATTTCCCAGTGTTCTGGGAACTAGTGCTACGAAAGACCACATGTTAAAAGAGGAAGTGGAATATGATGGGTAGAGTGGGTATCTTCTGTAGAACTTTGAAACCCCTGACTTGCTGTAGGAATGGAGTTCCTCAAGGTTAGGCAGTCAATGGTATTTCTCAAGTATATCTGACCAGATTGTCACGGGGCACTGTGGAACCAGCTGTGGGAGTATTGACTCAAACTGGATGGTTTTTGCTGAATAACAAAGTATCTGCTCATTACTCATCTGTCATGGTCACTCCAAGATATGCCAATAACCAGAATTAAGTGCTATTGTTCTCAGGAAGAACAGAAGAAAAAGAATGTCTTTATGGAATCAAAAACTTTTATTCAGAATAAAGATTAGTAAAATGAAGACAATTGCCTCATAAATGCAGATCCATAGAGTACACAGAAAGGGATTAGAAAACTGATTATAAAAATATTTTTGCTACTGATTAAAATAACAGGAAGCCATAATCATTGACCATAAGATGTAGCCATATGTAATTGTTCTGAAAAGATTAAAATCTTCAGACTATTTTCCCAGAAGGCAGGAAATCAAACCCAAGTGCTGCTGCTGTGACATCCAAATCCAGGCTGATGTTCCAGGTGACCAGTGGTCAAACAAAGGGGAGAGGGCTCTGAATCTTCAGGCCATGCACCCCTGGGCTGCTCTCTGCATTGGAGACTGGATTGAATACTTTTAATTTTCCTAAACAGGACTTCAATGGAAGAGTGACAGTAGCATTAGGAAACATTTACTGGGGTTGCTCTTGACTCTTCAGTTTGGCAAGTCTCATAAGGCAATCATCTCTCCACTGCCTTCTGGCAGCTAAGTGCCCTGGGTCATTGGGAACCTTTGAACACATGGCCTGGGGAAAGAAAGGAGGGGAGGTGAAGCATTAGATGAAAGAACTTGCCAGGAGTATACCTATGGTTCCTACTTATCCTGACTTTTTCTACATTGCTTTCAAAGGCCCAAGAAATAGAAAACCCCAATTAACACATGCTTTCCAAATCTTAGAGGCTGAGGACAGGTAAGTTTCTATTTGTTCACGGGTCACAATTCTTGTAAGTCTGCTGGTGACCTGGATGGGCAGAGTCAGGAAAAAGGAACCACCAAAATCAAGGGGCAAGATTCCCCCTGCAGATAAGAGTCCAACTGGCAGGTGGCAGAGGAGAAGGTGACAGTCAGCACGCTCCTCAGCAATGAGTCCACACACCTGGTTAACTTTCTCAACTGTGGCCCCAGAAAACTCTGGAATGGGTCCAAAAGTCTTCAGGACGCGTTTCATCCCTTCGCTATACCTGTCACAGTAGTTCACCATACCTGAAATGACATGAAAACAAGAATCCACCAAATCAGCAAGGGTAGTTATAATCCAAACTAAGACACTGATTCAGAGGGCTTTTCCCCAGGGATGCGTTATCTCCAGTCTTCTCCAGAGAGAGGTGGGAGATGTATTACTTATTTGCCTGGGGCAAGGAGGAATTCTATGGTAGACCCTACACATTTTTTCCTGACTTTGCAGCTCTGAAGAGCACTGTGTCCTGGAAGCCTGGAGTGTTGCCTCCATGCTGGCCCTTTGTGGACATTTGGTCAGCCTATGTTCATGCACTGTTGGTTTGGGCCTGTGGGGAGGCAGTAATGGTGGTGGGGAGTACATGGTGGGGCAAAGCTGCTTACCTCATAGTAGCCAAGAAAGAGAGACAGAAAAGGGTTTGGATCCCAATACCTCTTCAAGGGCCAGCCACATTTAATGTCCTGCCACTAGACCCCTTCTCGTAAAGTTTTCACCACCTTCCAATAACTCTGTAAGCTGAAGACCAAGGCCCCATATGGACTTTTGGGAAATATTCAAATTCCACACCATACCAGGAGGAAGTGGGAAATATTCACCGTTTTAGGGAAGGCAGAAGCACCTAGATCCCCTCAGAAGCCAACTCCACACCCTCTCCTTTGTGAACTGCAATGCCATGGGATTCAACTCAAGTGCCACATTTACCTCTCCATTAATTCAGAATTCTTCAGCTGTGAGGCCCCAAAGAGAAGGGGAGGATCACCCTAAACCTACAGGTACTCCAGATGCACAGCCAGAAAACTCTTCCATGTCACATTTGTAGGCAGCGTCAAACTCCACCTCGCTGCTCACCTCACCATGCCTGCTGGGCTGACACCACAGGGAGGCACATGCCTGGCTCCAGGTATCCACCCAGTGTATGAACCCACATCTACATGTGAACTGATGTGCTGTAAGAGACAGGGTTTCACAGGACTTATGAAAGTAGATCAAAAAGGCCTGAAAGCTCAGAGGTCCCTATCTGTTCCTGTTCCCAGGATCAAATCCCAAACCTAAGGGAAGACATGCCTAAGGCCAGGGAGGCAGAATTACCCAGGGTCATTCTCACTGAACCCTGTTGCATCACTGTGGCTTCTCATTCTGAAAAAAAACGGCAGCTCCACATAGATGATCCAGATTCACCAAGCAACATTTTTAAAAAAGGTAAGTGCCTACACTTAAGAATAACAACCACTTCCCCTAGAGGTGAATTCCAGGGGCTGCCCGATTCTGAGATGTTATTTTACAGAGAGACAAGAACAGGAAAACAGCCCAAATAGCCCCAAGGAATGTCCCCAGGGAGCCCAGCTCAGCAAAGCACACAGTTAAACCATGCACTTAGCTCTGATTCCCTATTGCACAGCAAGAAAAGTCAATCTGTAGTTTGCATTTCTTTCTCTTACACATGTGAATCTTTTGGGGAGAATTTAAAAAAGCAAACAAACATACAAAAATTTAAAAACAAAAACATGGAAGAACAGTAAATTAAACAAGGTAAAACTCTATGAAGACTTCTATTAAGGATGTAATCTATTCCAAGCAACTGGCCATTGTCCGGGTTATTTCTCATACCAGCATAACAGGTGGTTACTGTTGTCATTTCCATTTAGAGATGGGAAAACTGAGGTGAATAAAGTACTGACTCAAGGCTGTATAGCTAATAAGGGTGAAAACCAGGATAGGGACCTGACTGATTGGTTCCAGAGGCCAGAAGGACTATGCCAAGAGCTTGTCCTTCATGGGCAACACTTTTAAAAGTATCCAAAAAGGTAGAGTAAGCATGCTGCCTTCCTGTTTTTCAGGTACTATTAGATTAAAAACAAATCCTAAAATATTTGCACTAGTTCTAGATAAATGGTAGCTTCTAGGATTAAATAATCTCTTTAACCTGAGAAGCTTGACTTTATGAAAACACTATCAGCAAAAACAAACTCTCCTTCTTTAATCTTGATATATTCTGGGTGACACTGTGGAGAATAATGGACATTTCCACTGATTCCCAGCCAGATCTTACAACTGTCTAAATCTGAGCTCTGGAATGCTCTGAAGTTGAAAACTACATCCGTCTCCCGTTATCATATTAAGGCAATTAGGTTTTCTTATCATCTCGGCTTTGTTTGAAAAATTATTATAGGCCTCCTTCCTGTCTGCCACCCCACTTGGTTCTTGAGTTTCTGGTGTCACTGGTTTCTGTTTCTATTTGTTTGAGACTCAAAGCTGTTCTCAGTTCTCTCCCTATTGAATTCTCATGATACCTCAATTATCTTATTTTTCTCAAGAAAAAAGAAAGAAAAATATGTAGTTATCAGGCAGTATTTACACACATTTCAAATACTTAAATATCTTCACCATTTACAAGATCTGGTTGAAAAAAATTTGAAATTATTCAAGACTAATTTAATGATACTTTTTTTTTTTGGTACCAGGGATTGAACTCAGGACCTTGTTCTTGCCAGGCAGGCATGGTGCCACTGAACTACATCCCTGGTCCAATATTTTTAAAGTATCTCGCTTCACTTGCATGTGGGCATCTTTCTTTACATTAGCTTCCCGTGGTCAATAGACATCTTTCTGCAAAACTGGAATGCCAGTGGCTGGGGAGAGTCCTCTCTCTTGCCCTTCAGCTACTCTTATTCACATTTGACTTTAAGGGAGACTCACACCAGCTATTGGACATTTATGTGGCACATACAACCAGACCACTCATGAAATCCTATGTGTACCTGCTATGTGCAACAACATGTCTAGTAAATCAGCTTAGATTATTCATTGGAAAGTATTTCATGAAGTACTGTGGTGAAAATGGACTGAACTATTACCAAAGTGTAATGGAATTACAGAACTGAAGTCAAATAGATTCCCATGGGTCCCCACCTCCCCCTTCCATTTCATGGCAGGAGTTTCCTCTCTAAACACAGCTCCCCAAATCTCCACTCACAACCTGCCTTCTCCCAGACGTGAACTCCAGTTACTAGAAAGTTCTTCCTGCACACACTGAGCCCAACTTATCTGCCTGTCTTTTCTAATTTTCATTCTGGTTCCACCCCTTCAAAGACAGGAACACACACGCGTGACTATAATCACCTTTTTCCGATAAGCCCATTTCTCAATATCCATGGTTAAATGTAGACCATGGAGTTAGATACAGTGTTCCCTTTTTCTTTCTAAGTATGTTTTACCAGTTCAAGATGTCACTGTTAAATTACTTATAGAAACTTATCATAAGTGCAGAGAAGTAATGCAGAGAAGCAAAAAGAGAATGTTACCTAACATTTTAACACTAAAAGACAGCCACACATCTAGGTGGCATCTGTCAAAATTTTGATACATAGCTTTTTTTGATACATTTTGTTTTAACTTGGTATATGTCTTATTGGTTGTTTTACAGAGGTCTTCTTTTTAAATCATTCAAAATCTGGTTTATGGAGTTTCACACTTGTCCTCAAGTTATCTTTTAGAGTTACCACATGGTGGCTCATGTAGGTCAGCTCTGAGGTTGGCTCTAGGCAAATGTCTTAATCTCCCCACCCCATGTGTCCTCACAGGCTCCCGTTCCATGAAGCTTCTGCCTCACAGCTCCTGGACCTTCTACAAGGGACACCTATAGCTAGAGAAAAGCATACTTCCAGGTTACCTTGTTTAGGCAGCCCTCCAGCAGAGGGCTAAGTTTTCACATCTCTTCATCTTTTTCTTTCTTTTTGCCTCTAAATAATTTCATCATCTTCTCCAGGGAAATAGCACTTTCTCTTCCACCATGCAGGAGGAAATGCAGAAGAGCTCCCATAATATCATGTCCCTCTTTCTTTCTTTTTGGTTTTTTCACACTCAGAACCCATGGATCACAGATTCCACATGGGTTTACAGCTCAGTGCACAGTGTTCTGTGTCCCAGTCTGTACCGGTGAATTTCCTGGACTGCTGATTATCTTCCACAGGTGCTGCTGTTTCTATTCAGTAGTTAAAAATGCGAAGGCAACTTTTGGCTGTTCACAAAACCCAGAGAAATTATCAGCAGCCTCAATACTCGGCCTAACCTAGACACATACCTTCTGCGTTGAGGTGCATAGTTTCCAGTGGTCCGATGAATGCGTAGCGCATGCCCAATCCATCAGACATGACAAGGTCCAGATCACTGGGAGACACAACTCCTTCCTATGTAGGTGAAGGGGTAGCATACAGATAAGATCTCTGGAACTTACCAACACTTCCACCATAACTTCTTTAAAGCAGTATCTCCAAATACTGCTCAAGGCACTCACTATTGAATTTTGATCTAATTTTGCACAACAAAAATATTGTATATACCTGGGTCCTGAAAAGAGAATGTTCTGTGAAATGGTCAAATACTCACCTTTTCAATACCTTCAATCAATCTGCACCTGCCCCCAACCCCCGCCCCTACCCTACAGTGTATGGTCACCTGCAGTTTTGGAGGCAGAGAGGACAAAGTGCCAGCGAGGAGTAAGGATGGAATATCAGAGGAGAAGGGCAAGAAAGGCTTTCTGGACACTGGTTTAGGAGGTGGGGAGTAGGATTTGTGCTATGTAGAGAATGGGAAGGTGTTCACAGTTTCACCTGCCTGCATGCCTGGCCTTGTTCCACTATTAATGAGTCTGTAAGAAATGTTTATTCTTTGATGGAATGTAGCTTAAAACCATGGCTTTATCTGTCAAGGTGGGGGCCTTGAATCTTCTGCAGGGCAAAAGGGAAGCTGTTATGTGCTTAGCTCAGACTTTCAAGCTACTGGCTGTGTTTCCTAGCCTGCTCTTGTCCCTGCTTTAAACACTGGCTTTGGGAAGTAGCAGCAACAATGCATAAGGAATGCGCTCACTCCTACCTGAGGAGCACTACAACTTGGGGGGTGGGGGGATGGACATTCAGGAGGGTGGGCAGGGGCTGAAGTATTTCCCTCAGTCCTTCAAGGGTCAGACTGCAGCACTACTGTAGGGTCTGTGCTCCAGGTCTTCTTCCCCAGGAGTTTCTGCCACAGTGAGTCCATCCATGAGAGGCCACTAACCACTGGGAGCCTTGGTGGTCCTGTTAGCCACTGGCCAGGACCCTGGGGTCCCCATCCCAGATTAACAGCTGCATGCTCAGCATCCAGCTCCCAGGGAAGGGTGCAGGTAAGGGCTACCAGACACAGGTGAGGTCATGGCAGATCCCCTGCCTCTCTCTGAAAGGCTATCTAGCATTCATTCTATTTCAGAATCCACATTGGCGAAAGGGCAGTCCTCAACCCCACAAGGTGGCCCTGCCTTGCAGGAGGCTGGCCCCTGGAGAGCTGGAGCTCCCCCTGCTGTCCTGGCCTCCTGGGACTTCAAGGCAGCCAAAGAGGTCCTGAGGAGTAGGGAGAGAAAGGGACCTATGATACCTACCACCTTGGCTGAGGGACACACAGGTGCTCTCAGGGCTACACGGTCACCTGGATCCATCTGAGACACCCCCTAGTGAGGCAGGTTTGAGAGGATGGTTCCTAAAAACAAAGCAAAGATAGACCCTGCAACTGGCCAATGGCAAGTATGAGCCACATCTGACTGAGCAACTCTACAGAACCATTTTCCATCTTGTTAAATATGTGTGTAAGACATAAACACACAAAAGACATTCACAAGCCATATAGCATAGAGAGTAATTACAAAGTAAACACTCATCTTCTCCACAGCATCCTGCCCCTCCTTCTAAGAGATAAACACCCTGAATTCTGTAATAGCAACTCTTGGCTTTTGAGATTGGCCATCTATGTTTACATTCCTTATCAACAGAGCTTGCTTTTTTCCAATTTCTAATGTTTTGGTTGATGAAATTGTATTTTCTACCAAGGGGTGGGGTTGTAGCTGAGTGGTAGAGCACTTGCCTAGCATGCATGAGGCCCTGGGTTCTACCCCCAACACAGAGAGAAAGACAGGGAGAGAGGCAGGAAAGGAGATGTCTTAGTTACTTTTCTTATTGCTGAGATAAAATACCAGACACAAAGTTAAAGGGGGAAAGGTTTATTTAGCTTACAGTTGGTAGGGTGGCACAAGGCAGAGGGGCAAAAGTTCATGGTGGGTGGAAGTTAGCAAAAGCAACAAGAGACCTTAACAGCATCTTTCTGCCCTTTTTATTTTATTCAGACAATTTAGAACAGGTAGGACTCACGCCCTTAATCCTAGTGCCCTCAGGCCTAGTCCCAGCATGAAACAATTCCAGCATCATACACTCTAGATCTAGCCACCTCAGAAAAAAGCCCCACTTAAGACCAAATGAGGATTTGGGGGGACTTCTAAATGCAAGCCATAACTAGGGGAGAGGGAAGGAGAGGAAAAGTGGGAAGGGAAGACTGGAAGGGAGACAGGGAGCGTGAGAAAGACAGAGGGAGCACCTATGTTCTATATAGATATAGTTTGTCCATTCTTACTGGCACATAAAATCACAGCTTACTTATCCATCCTTCAGCTCAGTAGCATCTCAGCTGCTTCTAATGTGGGGCTCTGGCACCTAGCATAAAGACAACATTCTAGCACATGGCTTTGGCCCCATCAGCATAGGACCCTTGGGGCCTACAGCTGGAAATGCTTCCTCTTCCCCTTTATTAGACAATGATGAGCTGCTCTCAGAAGCAGTGCATCATGTTCAGGTGCCTTGGGCAAATGAGTTCCTACATGGGTGGTGTGGTGTTGTCATTTCTGCAAAATTGTGCTGACCTTGTAGGGTGCAATGGTGTCTTATTGGGTTTCCTACCACATGTTCATTTCGACTGCAAAGGAAAGCAAAATAATGTATTCAGTTCACTCAAATGCTGACAAATGCTCCTTCTTTTCACCTCTAATTACAAAGCTATAAGGAGGGAGGGATGTCACTAAGGAGGAAATAATCCACAGCAGGTACACAGTAATGCTCAGAACCATCAAAATACCAATCAGATGGAGAAGGGTCATGTCCACCTGCCTTCCCCTACTTGGCAAGCACCCAGTGTGGGAAGACTGGCTCTAGAGCTCTCTCCTGGATGCCAGCAATCCTGGGCTGTGGGTTCCTGCACCCCATGGGCTCAGAATGCAGTGAGAGGAGGCCAGGCAGTATCTGCTGACTCTCCCTCAGCACTCATTTCCATGTCAACATTCCAAAAAGCCCCAAGTTTTCATTTTAGCTTTCAAACTGTGAAGGATGTGAACATGGAAGCCACCCTATACAGGCAATGCTATTTTTCTTGGCTTGATTTAGTATTTTTAGAGCTGACTTTAAAAGGATTTCAAAAATACACAAAAAGTGAGCCACCCAGAGTAGTTAAGTTTTGTTTTGCTGGGGTATTGAACCCAGGGTCTCACAAGCACTCTACTACCCAGTGATACCCCCAGCCCAAAAAGTTTTGACTCACGCATCTGAGCTCACTGAACCCTACTACAGCTTGAGAGGGACAATTCCCAGATGTTCTCTTTTCCTTCCTACTTCATTTAGGGTAGGTCTCTCTATTTTTTATCAATTACTGTTCCCCAACTGAACAAGTTAGAAAAGAAGAGAATGTTCTGATATCCTCATTTCCTCACTCTTTCCTGCCCAATTAGGGATTTGTAAAGTAGATTTCTCAAAGCTTGTGCTTTTACCAAGAAGCTAACTCTAGAGCAAGAAAATGGTCACGGGTAATGTACTTCAGTTCAACTCCTTGCTGACTATAATTTCAGACGGCTGAAGCAGACACTGGAATTTCTCCCTGCTGCACTTAGCACTGAACTAAAGGTTTCATGTTTAGGATGTACTGAAGCTCAGTTTTACTCCTGAGCTCAGCTTCACCCAGAGCTTTGTGGCATCTGTGACCTAAAATTATCATAATAATTACAATAAATAATCACGGTACAGAATAAGCAGAAAGAAGTGCTAACACTGAAACACTGAACTGACAAATGATTCCTGGAAAATGAATGTTTGGGGAATGCGATCTGACCTCAGGCTAGTTTTAACATTTATCGGAACAGCTATCAACACTCTCTCCATTTTGTGGTAAAATTCTCAAGTTGCAGGTACAAAAGAAAAACCCCAAGTGGTTAAAAGATTCCCCAAAACTCATACAGAACAATGAACACTAAAATCACTGTTAGCTCAAAACCTGGCTTTGTAACATGTCCTGAGATATGACCAGGCAAGGAGGGCCCAGAGAGAGCAGTAAGGAATCCCCTTCGTTGAAAAGCTCCTCTCACTTCTACTTTCTTTAGTTACAATCTGGGACTCACCACAACGACTGACACATATGCACAGCCTGAAGAACATGCTTGGCACCTGGCGCACTGGGAATAAACGCCCAGGCTGCAGGCCATAAGATAATCATCCATGAGATAAGGAGAAAACTCAAGATAGTAAATGAAGCATTCAATTTCTATAATTACATAATTAAAGGTTTAAAGATGTAATAGAGAGGGTTCTACCAGTAAGACAGGATCAGGAGGGCACACACATACTTAAACACACTTATACTCACACAAATATATACACATCAGTCCCGCAGCATCTGTGAGGAGCGGTTCTAGGACATCCCTTCCCCATACAGATGCTCAAGTTCCTTAAATTATAGTATTTGCATAGAACATATGCACATCTGCCTATATACTTTAAATTACCTCTATGACTTATGACATCTAATTTAGTGTAAATCTATGTACAGTAGTATCCTGTATTTTTTAGGGAATACTGACAAGAAAAAAAAGACTGTAACATGTTCAGTAAAGATGTAGTTTTTTTCTTTTTTCTTTTCTTTTTTTGGTACTGGGGATCGAACTCAGGCCCTTGTGCTTGAGAGGCAGGTGGTGGAACCATTGAGCCAAATCCCCAGCCCAGATGTAGATTTTTCCCTGAATATTTTCAGTTGGCAGCTGGTTGAATCCATGGACACAGAACCATAGATATAAACAGCCCACCATGTGTGTGTATTTATTTTAAGGAATTGGCTTATGTGATTGTGGGGCTGGTGAGTCTGAAATCCATAGAATAGACCTCAGATAGGCAGGATAACCTTGCTGTCCATAAGTGGAATTTTTCTTCTTCAAAGGAGCATCAATTTTGCTTTTCAGATTTTTCAATGGATTGGATGTGGTACCCAGATTACAGAGAATAATTTCCTTTAAAGTTAAATGGATTCCAAAATATCTCCACAGCCACTGAGAGCAACTGACTGAAGAGCTGCG